AGTGGGAGTCCCCGATTAAGCCCACATTCCTTAGAGAAAAGTGTCTGAGCTCCTGCCAAATGCGTGGGCAGGGCTAGATGCTCTTACCCACCTGACTGTAGCAAGGTTTACCTGGCACTGAGGCGGAACCTGAAGCTTATATTGTGGTGAGCCCAGGATACCAGCTCCACAACCCCGGCCAAGCCTGTGGGAGCCATGACTGGGGGTTTTTGTTATTTGGCTTTCTTAGGTATATTTGGCATATAATGAATTCACATATTTAAAATGTACAATTAGGTATGTCTTGACATGCACACACCAGTGAGACCATCTCCACAATCAAGGTAGTGAACACATTCATCACCCTTAAAAGTTTCTTCCTGCCTCCTTGAATTCTCTCCCTTCCGTTCCTCCCCACCTGCCACCAGATGGTACTGATTTCTGTCACAATTGCTTAGTTTCCATTTTGTAGAATTTTTATATGAATGGAATCATGCATTCTTTTTCGGGGGGAGAGAGGTCTGATTTCCTTCACTCAATATAATTATTGAAATTTTGTTTGATACTTTTGCATATATCATTAGTTCATTCTTTATATTATCAAGTATTATTATGAAGATATTCCACAATTTGTTTTTCCATTCACCTGTTAATGAATATTTGAGTTGTTTCCACTTTTTGGCTGTTACAAACAAAGCTGCTATGAACATTCATGTACAAGTCTTCATATGGAATATGCTTTAATTTCTTGTGGGTATAAATACCTTGGAATGGAATGATTGGTCATCTGATAGGCATATGACTAACTTTATAAGAAACTGCAAAACTGTTGTTCAAAGCCATTGTATCATTTTACATTCCCACCAGCAATGTATGAGAGTTCATTTGCCCATATGTCTTTTTTCTCTGCCTGCTTTTATCACTGGTTTTAGGCAGTTTAATTTATGATATGCCTTGGGGTAGTTTTCTTCATGTTTTTGTGCTTGAGTTTCATTGAGATTCTTGGATCTGTGAGTTTATAGTTTTCAAGTTTTGAAAATTATTTTGGCCATTACTACTTTAAATATTATTTTTCTGTTCTTTGGGGACTGTAATCACCTGTATATTAGGACACTTGAAATCCCAAGTTCACTGAAGTTATTCTTTCTTTAAAAAAATTATTTTTTAAATTGATTTCAGAGAGGAAGGGAGAGGGAGAGATAGAAACATCAATGATGAAAGAGAATCATTGATTGGCTGCCTCCTGCATGCCCCACACTGGGGATTGAGCCCACAACCCTGGCATATGTCCTTGACTGGAACTGAACCCAGGACCTTTCAGTCCACAGACTGACGCTCTATCCACTGAGCCAAGCTAGGGCTTATTCTTTCTTCTTGAAAAAAATTATTTCCCTGTGTGTTCATTTTAGATAGTGTCTATTGCTAACTTCCAGTTCACTAATCTTTTCTTCTGCAATGTCTAATCTCCCATTAATGCCCTATACCTTGTTGTTTTTTGCATCTCAGGCATAATAGTTTTCATCTCTAGAATTTCAGTTGAGGCCACCCCCTATACCTTGTTGTTGTTTTTTGCATCTCAGCCATAATAGTTTTCATCTCTAGAATTTCAGTTGAGGCCATTTAATATTTTTGATGCCTCTACTTAACTTTCTGAACATATGCAGTGCAGTTACAACCATTGTTTTAAGGTCTGTGTTGCACATTAGCAGCGTTGATGCTGGAATTGGATCTTCCTGAGGAATCAGAGTCTTCTGTCCATCATTCAAAAATTGTCCTCAATAGGGAGATTTCAGGGCTTCATTTAGGCTCTTCTTCCACTTCCAAGATTTTATTTATTTTATTTTATTATTTTTACTGAGAAGATGGTATTACAACTACAGAAAGAACTTCTAAAGAAGTAATTACCATAATTCCAACACCAAAGCGAGTGGTATTTGCTAGTTGCTGCCACACCAAGCCTGAATTTTTACACTGATGTAGACATTTTATTTATTGTACCATAAACATTGTTCCTTGTTGCTACATAGTCTTCATAACGCTATTTCATGAAGATATGACAGTTTCATCAAGGGACACACAGTCCCTCCCACTGTTTTGAGGCACAACTTCCTCATGAATATCTTTTTTTTTTCTCTTCTGTTGACTTATTTCCTTAGGGGTATATTCCCTAAAGTAGTAATTTTCTGTCAAAGGATCGGAATGTCTTTGTGGCTTTATTTGGAGCATTTTACAGAAATAAATCATTACATCTTTTTTTGTATGTTAATTCATATTTCATCAAAATGTAACCATTTGACGATGTGATAGAAAATCTGGTGAAATGTTCCAGACTAGCACTCCAACAGCTCATTAATAAATTTATCATCTGACCATGTAATGCTATTTTAAAAATCATGATTTTCCCTGATTAATTTTCCCTCTGCTCTTACCATTCTTCCCTCAAAACTTCAAGTCCCCCTCCTCTTCCTTCGCCTCCACACTCTGGAGGGAATGCTCCCCAAGTCTTCTTCGTCTTTTCTCAGAAACTCATCCTTTGTTTACTTTTGGAGTCAGGACTTGTTTGCATATGTAAAACCAGGACCATATTGTTTGCAGATGCAAGGGGTACTACCAGATAACTGAATATAAAAAGTCGAAGCTTTTAAGTCATTTCTTACAAACCTGGACACAAAAGAATATTTTCTTAAAATTAAAAAAAAAGCACATGGAAATAAAGATTGTGGGATTGGGTTTCTAATTCAAACATTTCCCTCTGTGTTCTTAGTAGGGACCGTTACAAATGCACAGAAAGTTAGGGGCCTGGAAGGCGGGGAGGGTAGAGGATTAGGAGAGAAAACTTTGCAGATTCACCATCTGATCCAGAAAGATGAATGCATAAAAGGAGTTAGAATACATGACAGAACAAAAATTCAATCCCAGTAATTTATGATCCCTCTGGTAGCATTAACAGAAAGGTATGTTTTTTTACCCTTTCATCAATAGTTTCCTGGTCAGCTTTTTATTTTAACATAAGAGTAGCTTAAAAGTAATTGTGTTTCCTATCAGTATTTGATAGAACCGCCCCCCTCCCCCACCCCTTTAGGGCAGAGGCCCAGATCAGATAGCAATCATTAAAAGCTACTTGTTTTGTTTTGTTTTTTAGCATTAAATGCTTTTGTTTAAGAAAGGGGGGAGGGGATTAGTGTGACTTCTAGTCTAACCAGCAATGATAAAACAGATGAGAGCTCCACTAACAAATTGGCTTAAACTAGAAGGCTGGATTCTTTTTCCAGGTAAATTTTGAAATCGATAATAGCATCTGCAGATACAGTGGGGAGAAGGTGAGTTCTGAGGTGCCACCCTTGTCCACATGCCCAGGCAGCTTCTGAGGCCCCACGTGGCTGCGGTGCTCCAGGGACCCGCGCACCGGGCCAGGGCTGGGTGGTGTTTGCTGCTGCTGAGTGGGAGCCCTGGAGAAGCTTTGGTGGGTTGGAGTGGGAGGCATTCTGGGGGATAGGGGCTGCTCGCAGGTCGCTCCGGCATAGAGCAGGAGTGCATGGCAGGTGGGGAACCGAATTGGGGCTGAGAGCCTGGTGTCCAGACCTGACCATGTTAAGATTTTGGAGGCGTTGTGGGCCAGAGGTGCGGTGAGGATGGGGAGGTTGGATGCATTTAAAGGCAGTACTGCTTTCACACCCCTCCACCAAGGCGTCATGACCACACATCCGCATGCTCCCCCAAAACTTGGCCTTAATTCTATCTGTTGTCTGTTGCCCATCTGGAAAATGAGGGTGACTGGAGGCAGGGATAGAGGCTTTGCAGGCAGCTGGAGCTAACCTGGTTATGTTTTGTGTTTTTGTGTTTTTTTTGTCTCCGGGTCTTGGTGCTGGGCTGCTCCAGCCAGAGACAATACAGGACTTGGCTGGAGTCCCGTCTTCTGTGAAAATTTCAGGCTTGGCCTCAAGGGCTCAAGACCAGGGTGCCCTTTTCACATCCGACAAGCAGTGCTTTAAAAATTACATTTTCATGTTTGAAACTCAAGTACTCCTTCTGCCTGTCATAGTGCATTTTTCCACTAAGGTTAACACATTTGGGATTTGCTTTGTTTTTCTTTTAGAGGCTTATTGGTTTTTTGTTTTGTTTTGTTTTTTTTCTAGAGAAAAGTTAATACTTTGCATATTCTTGTCAGGACTCAAGCCTAGGCTAGTTTGGGGGTTATGGGCCAATTGCTTCACTTTCCTAAATCTAGACTTGGGATTTGGGACTAATTTTTCATCTTGTTTTTTTGTTGTTGTTGTTCTGTTTTTTGTTTTGTGTTTTTTTGTGTGCCTTGTGTCCCCTCAGTGAGGCAGGAACAATAATTCGGGCCACAGAGGTTACTCCTAGTGTCAAATCGGGCAGTGATGGTGCCAAGCTGTACTGTGAGCTATCATAATAGTAAAGCTATGACTTCTGACTTGATTTCTGTGGTAATTCTTTTCCCTTCGCCTAAATCGAGCAGAGGGCTGGGCATCCGCAGAGGTCTTTGTTGAATTGTACAGAACCAAATTTTCTAGGGCAAGCATCCCCACAGGTAAGAAGAAAGAAAAAATGCCATCCTGGTGGACTGGGCCTGGGCAGCGGGTCCGAGCTCGGTGGGATGGGAGGGGCTGCAGCTGGGGGCCTGGGGGCTTCCAGGGCGGACGGTGTGATCCAAGTACTGAAAGCTGCTGCCAGGGCCCTGCCCAGCCTCCCACTTTCACTCGGACTGCACGGTCGTTTTGGCTTTCCTTGATTTGTGTTTGAAAATGTTATAACAAAGCAGAAATGTGCCGCCTTCTTTTCAGGGACTCCCGAGTAATTGCTCAATGTTTATTTTTGTTTCTTCTCTCATTCCAAAACTGTCTGTAGAATTTAATGACCTATTAAAAATGTTCTCAAAAATACCCCCATCACTGTCGATCTAGTTTTTGTTCTGTTTTTTTGATACATTGGTTTTTGCTGATTTTTCTACTCTGTTCTCAAGCTCATCCTCATTCTCCTCCCTTTCCTTCTTGTTTCAGAAGTTGGAGGGACTAGTCAAGCTCCGGACTGTTCGGGAAGCGCCATCGGAATGCGTCTGCCCTCCGGGTAAGTGGACATTTGATCCTTGCTGGCTCCTGACTTCTGTAGGCCTGGCTTCTCTCTGTCTGCTCAAAATTGCCGAGGACATGGTCAAGATGATTGCCTTGGGTCTCAGGCTGTATGTTGTACCTTGTGGCCCATCATGGGCCTTTCTTCCTACCTCTTCCCTGGCAGGCATGTCGTTAGTCAAAGATCACAGCATGATTCACTGTTTCGGTTTGACAGCAATGGTGGTATTGGCGGGGGAGCTGAGAACCATTAGAGATGACTTATAATAAAGGCTTAGATGCTGGGACAGCACCAGCCATTCCATTCTGAAGATGGAAAAACAGGCACGAACCAGCCACAGGGTATTATCATTGTGACCTTATCTCTATTTCAAACCTTAGGGGGTCTGGGGGGAGGGTTGTGATAAATAATCTGGCCAAATAGTTTTGTGTGTTTTTGTTGTTGTTTTTTGGTTTTCATTTCTTTTGGTGGAGGTAGATGAAGGAAGCAGGAAACATGGTCTGAATTATTCAAATAATCATATCTCTCTTGGGTTTTGATGGTGTAGACTAGTATGGCTGTGAATAGAACTGGGATTTGTTGATTCCTAACTCATGTGGCTCAAATCCTGATTCATATCAGGTCTTCCTGGTTGTCCTCATGGGAGCTTTGCACAGATGATGATTGAGAATGTAGGTGTGTAGTTGCAGCCCTGGCATTTTTAGGGTTAGCATTAACCTCTCGCAGGATGGTGTGTAAAGCAGTGAATGAGCAGAAAGTCATAATACTTCCCAGGCTTCTCTCCATGTTGGACAAGGCGACAAAACATAGATCATAGTAGCTGAGCCAGTGGCCCTTAACTTTATTGTCACACCTTCCATTAGCCAAGTTGCATGGCATTTCCCAACCTCCTTCACTGGTCCAGAAACGAAGCTCACTGATAGTCAACATCTCAAGGTTGGGAGATGCCCAGGATGTCTGCAAGGGTGGGCCTCCTGGTGGGAAAACTCAGTCTCTGGGGGCCCAGCAGGAGAGGACCTGATGGTCCAGCTTGAGCTAGCTTTTAGTAGTAGGACCTCCCCAAGGTTTTGATAGGAGGAAAAGGATATGACAAGTAATGACATCACTATTGGTTCAGTAAGTCAGAAGCTGTGTTTTAATGGGGTAAAAAATCCAGACCCACAAATAATTTTTGGATGATCTGCAAAATATATAAAATAGGAATGATTCCCCTGCTTTTTCTGAGTGTTGTGGATGTTTTTTAAACTGGGAGGCACAATGCATTCGTAAGATATGAAATCAGTTCCGTGGGTTGCAGCAGTGTTTTGAAATTTTGAACTAGCATAGACTTGAATAAAAACTATTGGAGTGAAGTTTCTATTTCAGCTATTTCTATTTGTAGGCATGACCTGGATGGTGAAGTGAACTGGGTTTCATGCTGTGGGCTGCTGACAGGAAGCTTGAAAGTCCCAAATACATATGACAGATGGACTGGGAGGAGGAGGCAGGGATGGGGCACGGAGCTCCCGACTAAATCCAAGCCAGGTCCAAACCTTGGTCTTCCACTTATTAACTATAGGGTCTTCACCAAAAAATGATGACAATATTAGAGTGGCCTTTTGAAGTCATAGAGAAAATACAGGTCAAAGCCCATGACCCAGAGGCAGTCCTGTGTCCTGTCTTTCCTTGGGGGACCCAAGAGGGTCTCAGGGAAAACTATGGAGGCTGAAAGGCTGGTCAAAGCCTCCAGTTCCCACTGACAAGAGGACAGTGACCTTCCCTGCTCTCTGAGAAGGGCCCTGCTGGCAGCCCTGTGCAGATGTTGTCGAGGGCTCGTGGCTGCCATCAAGCCATTCTGGCAGCTGTGGTCAGTGTGGCCAGGCCCCCATGCACACTCATGCCCATGCCTGCTATACTTTCTCTCCTGTCACTCTGAGCTGGAGGACTCACTTGAGCCCTTTGGACCAGAGCCCTACATTGATGCAAAACCCCGGAGGCTGGCACGTTCTCCAACAGAGGCCTTTTCTCCAACACCAGAAGCCTTAGCTCATTCCCTTTCTCTCTGGCTCTGATCTGCCCTGCAGACTTCTGGAGTCCAGACACACAGACCACCCTCCATAGCTTGGGTCCCATCTGATTTTAGATACCCCACAGATCCCCCTGGCCTGGCTCCTTCCCACGCCTGGAGGACAGTGTAATCTTTTGTCAGATCCTAGGATGCAGCAGACTGATAATCGAGGCCAGAGAAGGGGGCGGCTCTTCTGTGTGTGCTGCCCATTGTGAAGCGACACTCTGGGGGAGCCATGAGGCTGAGAGGAGGGGCAGGCTGTTGCTCCTGCCTGAGTCAGTGGAGGGGGACTGGCAGGGCTGGGCCCTGAAGTAGTCCTGTGACCTTGAACAAGTGAGAGGCCCTCAAGCCTTGCACCCCTCATCTATAAAATGGTGTAGTGGGTTGAATTGTGTTCCCCTAAAACAGTGATGGCGAACCTTTTGAGCTCGGCGTGTCAGCATTTTGAAAAACCCTAACTTAACTCTGGTGCCGTGTCACATATAGAAATTTTTTGATATTTGCAACCATAGTAAAACAAAGACTTATATTTTTGATATTTATTTTATATATTTAAATGCCATTTAACAAAGAAAAATCAACCAAAAAAATGAGTTCGCGTGTCGCCTCTGACACACGTGTCATAGGTTCGCCATCACTGCCCTAAAAGATATGTCCCAGTCCTAACCCCCATATTTATAAATGTGACCTTATTTCAGGGTGGGAATCTTTTTTCTGCCAAGGGCCATTTAGATATGTATAACCTCATTTGCAGGCCATACAAAAGTATCAAGTTAAAAATTAGCCTGCTATATTTGGTCAAACATTTAATTAACTCACCCCTAAAGCCTTGGCAGGGCCAGACCAAATGATTTCGAGGACCTTATACTCTCCCCACCTCTGCCTTATTTGGAAATAGGGTCTTTGCAGATATAATTAAGTCAAGGATATCAAGATGAGATCATCCAGGATTTAGGGTGGCCTTAAATCCAGTGACGATTGTCCTTGTAAGATACGGGAGGGAGAGATTTGGGACACAGAGACACAGAGGGGAAGGCCATGGGAGGGTGGAGGCAAGATCAGACAAGCCAGGACCGTGGAAGGTGATCGCAGCCACTAGAGGCTGGAGGGGTGCGGGAGGGAGTCTTCCCTCAGAGCCTCCAGAAGGAATCCATCCTGCCAACACATCGATTTTGGGTTTCTGGCCTTCAGCACTGGAGATGAGAAGTTTCCATCATCTTAAACCACCCAGTTTGTGGTAATTTGTTGCAGCAGCCTTAGGAAATTAAAACAAATGGCAATAATAATCGTCCTGAGGACCTTACAAGGTTTCTGAGAGGATTGAAATGGGAGGGACGGAGGAGCTTCCTGCACCACCGAGTGCGGATCAGGTGTGAGCATGAATGAGGTGCGAGTGTGGATCAGGTGTGCGGCTGCTCCCCGGGAGGCCCCCGAGGCTGCCTGTTCTCACAGCTGCCCCTAAACTCTTCTCTGCCTTCCACAGACACTCCCAGGCTTTAGACCGGCGGTTCTCAACCTTCCTAATGCCGCAGCCCTTTAATACAGTTCCTCATGTTGTGACCCAACCATAAAATTATTTTTGTTGCTACTTCATAACTGTAATTTTGCTACTGTTATGAATCGTAATGTAAATATCTGATATGCAGGATGTATTTTCATTGTTACAAATTGAACATAATTAAAGCATAGTGATTAATCACAAAAACAATATGTAATTATATCTGTGTTTTCCAATGGTCTTATCGACCCCTGTGAAAGGGTTGTTCGACCCCGAACCCACAATTTGAGAACCGCTGCTTTAGACAGTGCAACTGAGCCCTGTCCCTTAGGTATTCCAACACCTTCTTATATTTCTGTGTATTTAAATGCTTAAAAATGTTTGAAGTTTTAAAATGTTTAACTTTCAGTAGGAAATAATATACGATGTGATTAAAAAAATTTCAAGTACTACCAAAGATTACATGTGAAAAATACCCCCCCTCCCCCATCCTCCTGCTCCCCTCCCCAGGGGCTGTTACCAGGTAGCTGAAGTCTTCCAGAGCAGCACTGGCTGATAGGACTTTGTGAGATGATAGAACTGCACACCATCCAGTCGTCCGGTTGGCGGCCCCACTAGCTGCTCATGGTTATCAAGCCCTTGAAACTGACAAACTGAATTTTTACTTAACTTTAATTAATTTTAGTTTAAATGGCCATGTGTGGCTAGTGGCTATGGTACAGACAGCCTGATTTTTTAAAAATATATTTTATTGATTTTTTACAGAGAGGAAGGGAGAGGGATAGAGAGTTAGAAACATCGATGAGAGAGAAACGTCGATCAGCTGCCTCCTGCACACTCCCCATTGGGGATGTGCCCACAACCAATGTACATGCCCTTGACCGGAATCGAACCTGGGACCCTTGAGTCCGCAGGCCGATGCTCTATCCACTGAGCCAAAGTGGTTAGGGCCAGACAGCCTGATTTTTGAGATAGTTTATGGACATTTCAGCCAGTAGCTCCCTTCCTGTTTTTAAACAAATGGTATCAGAGGTTGTGGTCCCTGTGTTGCTTTTTTCAGTTTGCAATTTCTCTTTGAGATGGTCTGACTCAGTCCAATACCGGAGGGCAGGTGCTGCCTTGTTGGGTTAAATGATGGAATCCTGTCTGGTTGTCGGGCTGTCCTCTGAGGAATGTGACCAGACCCCACAGGGACACTGGATTGTTTCTTGTCCTATGTTCTTAAAGACCGTCCTCCGGGGAAGTTTTGGAAGGAAGGAGGGCTGCTGCTCGCCCTGTCCTCTGCTTCCCCGTGCTTTGTCCTGAAGCCCATCACAAGCCAAGCATGCTGCAGGGCCGGGCGACATTGGGCTGGAGTTCAGGAGCCCATAGTGTGTTGGGGGAGGTGGCCCTTAGAGCAATAATCCTGAAAACTTGCAGGAGGGGTTGGGGAGTGGGGGTGGCCCTGAAGCC